CTACCGCTCCCTTCCTCCACATCCTCACCAGCACTTGTTTGTTGACTTATTGATGGTAGCCATTCTGGCAGCTGTGCAGTTTTAATTTGCACCTCTTATGATGTTTTCATGTCTATTGGCCATCTGTATGTCCTCTTTGGAGAAGTGCCAATTTAGGTCCTGTGTGCATTTTTAATTGGGTTATTTCTCTTCCTTTTGTTGAACTGTATGAGTCCTTTATATATTTTAGATATTAACCCCTTTTCAAATGTCATTGGCATATATGCTCTCTCATGCTGTGGGTTCTCTTTACATTATATATATATATATAATTTTATTGAGTTTTTACAGAGAGAAAGAGAGATGGATAGAGAATTAGAAACATCGATGAGAGAGAAACATCTATCAGCTGTCTCTTACACCCCCCTCCCCCCACTGGGGATGTGCCCGCAACCAAGGTACATGCCCTTGACGGGAATCAAACCTGGGATGCCTCAGTCCGCAGGCCGATGCTCTATCCACTGAGCCACACTGGTTTTGGCTCTCTTTACATTTTGATAGGTTCGTTCGCTGTGCTGAAGCCTTTATGTAGGTCCATTTGTTTAGTTTTCCTTTGTTTCTCTTGTCCTTAGAGATGTACAGCTGAGAATTCTGCTACATGAAATGTCTTGAGACTTCACTAAGTTTTCTTCTAGGATTTTTATGGCTTGCAACTTAACATTTAATTCTTTTATCCATTTGGAGTTTATTCTTGTGCATGGCGTAAGTTGGTGGTCTAGTTTCATTTTTTTAATGTACCTGTCCAATTTTCCCAACACCATTTACTGAAGAGACTATCGTTACTCCCTTTTATTCTCTTGCCTCCTTTGTAACATACTCACCTTGAAGGCTTATAATTTGAGAGCTATTTAGAAAACAACTGTTAGGATTTGATCCAAGATATACATTTTTTTCATGACTGGGCAGACAGGGTTTAACAGAATTAAGCTTAACTTTCAAAGTAAATTTGGAAAAGAACCAAGGTAATGACCTTCATAGCGTAACAAGTCAATTCACATACCATCAAAATATCTTCATTTACCCAGCTTGTCCAGGACTAAGCTTTTGAAGATCTGAAACATTCTGTAAGAAACAGCAATTGTCTTTATTATTTATGAAAATGGTCAGAATTAAGGTATGTTAACCTACAGACTAAGGGTACACAGTTACCTAAACCCTCCTGCTATCCCCAAGGACAAAGCTAACGATAACCTCTATTTAGGCATGTCTGACTGGAGAACAGGGAAGCTCATTCTTGGTAGTGTGGATCTCGTTTAATAAAACCAGAATTACCCAAGTCAGTCATGCCATTTAGGTCCTAATTTAACTGTCAGCACCAAGCCACTTCCTTCCCCATCCCTAATCAGAGCTATGGCAGATGGAGTACTCAATGAAGACCATCAAAAAACAAGGTGTAATTTGCCTCGTTCTTATAAAAAAGTCATTTGCTCAATCATTTAATTAACTCAAGGAAATTCTCAGTGGGAAAGGTAGAGGTCCGTATCAAAGGACCATTCTCTAATCCTTCCAGATTTTTTCTCCATAAAAAATTTTCATCACTTGTTTAAAGGGCATTAAAAAAAAAAAAAAGTCCTCCTTTTAAGGTATAGAAGATAAAACTGAACTGTAATTGCATTTGCAAAGTTAAAGCTACACTTCAACCAAATAGTATTTCTGAGAATTGCTAATTTAAAAGATAACTTTACAAGGGAGGAGAGGAATAACAATGCCTATCAACAATGGATAAATTCTATATTCATACTATGAAAGGCTCCTTGATAATAAGAGACTATGAATATACTCAACAAATATAAAAAAATTGAATCAGTCAGTCACAAAGGAGTATATATACATGATTTTATTTCTGTGAATTTCTAGCACAAGCAACACTATCTGTGGTGATACAAATCAGAACAATAGTTATGTGGAGAGGGATTAACTAGAAAGGGCATGAGATAATTTTCTGGAGTAATGGAAGTTTTGCGTCTTTATTTGGATTGTGGTCACCAAATATCAATGATACATCTAAAATCTGTGCATGAAAATTATAACTCAGTTTTTAAAAAGTACTATTTATCTAACTAGATCCTAAAGTTAAGTATAATGTACTACCTTAGAAAGGATCTAATGAATCTTACTATTATTAAAAACAAACACAGACAGACAAAAAATGGTTACCAGAGGGGAATGGAGGTGGGATGAGGGCAGAGTGGTTAAAGGAGGTCAAATATACGGTAACAGAAGGAAATCATACTTCCGATGGTCAGCATGCAATAGTACACAGATGTCAAATTAAAATCTTGTACACCTGGAAATTATATAATGTTATTAACCATGGTTATGCCAATAAATTAAAAAAACAACAGAGGCAATTCAGAAAGCAGATATGAAACTTTAATTCACTGTGGGCATTTCTTTAGCCATTCTCTATAATATATATAAGCTTTTCTTATGTCTTCACAAGAAACATCTTTTATAAGACAGTTTTCCTACCAAATACTGTGTACCATATCACTATTCCATTGAACTAGTTAAGAGTGTATTATAAATATGATGAGCCATTGGTTAAATATACAGAAGTCGATACATGTTAGAAAGTTTAAATAATACAAAAAGCTTAACAAAGGCTAAATACAAGGTAAGGTTACATCTTCTATACTATACATAACATCACAGTGACAACCAATTACAATAGAATCACACTGCTTTCAGATAATACACTCAGATTTCTAACACCCAATTATTTTCATTTCAACCATCTGAATTCCACACTGCGTTTTTATTCTGGAGTAGACCAGCTTTTGGACTGCAGACAAGACTCTTGTGTAACAATGTTTATTACGCTGCCCTGGCCAGGTGGCTCAGTTGGTTGGAGCGCTGTCCCAAGCACCGAAAGGTTGTGGCCAGATTCCCAGTCAGGGCACATCCCTAGCTTGCGGGTTGGAAACCTGGTTGGGGCACGTACAGGAGGTAACTGATCGCGGTTACTCTCTTCCTTCCTTGTTCTCTAAAATCAATCAACATATCCTGGGATAAGGTTTTTTTTAAAAAATTATGTCGATCATGACCACAGAAAACTAAATTTATATATACTATGCTATACAGAAATGCAATTTTGGTTGAAGAATATAATAATATGGAACTCTTCAAGAGAAATTCAAATAGTAGACTGAGAATGGGTTTTAATTGCTACTGCAGTCTACATGTATTTCGTTAAAAGAATAAGCCTCTGTCAAAACATTTGGAAATAAATATATAGTTCAGCCTTTTCCTCTTTGAAAATGCTGCCTGGTTAAAAAAAAAAAAAAAAAAGTTCCAAGCAGATGAAAGAAAAAAACAAAACTACAAACAAAAAACAAGGGGGAAAAAGACTTCAGAAAACAAACACTATATGATGTCAGGGCTGCAGTTTTCCTGAGTCTGTTTTTCGACTGGAATAAGTTTTGCAGTCAGTTCTGCGTTGTTTTAGTGTCCACAGTCCACGGGGAGTCCTTGAATGTCTAGTTTCCATTTTACAGAACCTGAAAGGACTCTAAACACCCCTCAACTCATTACACAAGGGAAAGCTGGTCATGTTTGGTACTAAAGTCTGTATGAACACCAGACAGAGTCATAGCCACTCTTAACAGTGTTGCTAGAATAAGTAAAGAAAACGTATGTACAGCTGTACACAGATCACCAGTAAACACAGGAACAAAATGCCATTTGCTGTATATCAAGTAAGCTGCCCAAAAGCTAATTTGCAATGTTTATTTTCTTTGCTTTGATACAGTTTTAGAAGGGACTGCACAGAAGTACAGGACTGCTGCAAATAACACTTTGATGCTAAGTGTTCTATTAAGCATCAGGCATGCAAAATAATTACCTTTTAAAGTTTTTATATCGCAACACTCCTATTTATAAGCTACAATATGTGTAAAGCATTTAGTAATTAAGCCAAATATTTTAATTGACCTATGTCTAAGTGGGGAAAGACAAAAACTTTCCTCCTGTCTCAACATACTCCCCAAACTGATAGAGAAACTTATTTTGTCATCCATAAAATTCCAAGTGATGAAAATCCTTATCACTATGAAATTCAAAGTATAGCCAGCAGTCTATCGCTCAGACACTTCCAGTATGCCAAGCCTTTGGGAATTACACGATAAGAGTGACATGCTGGCTATATATGACAACAGTTGAACTTATTAGTCTCTTCTTTTTCTCCTGGATCTTTTATTCCAAACTAAGTAAAGCTTTTCATTAATACAAACTAAAAAAAAAAAAATTATTTTTTCTTTATTTACCATCCATATAAGAGTAGATAAAACTAAAAACCTTTATTGTCTTCAAGTGTGTGGCAAAACAGAATGTTTCAGTAACATTAGGTAATCAGCTAGGGAAGTGATTACTTTGTTTTCCCATTTGAAAAGCATTCCACATAATCACAAACACAATTTCAGATTGCTTGGTTCTCGGTCATTTATGGCTTAAAATACTGCATTTGGAAACCACATCAGGATAAAATAAGTTTATACGAATAATGCATAGATTATATATCTGGGAAATCATGCAATAAATAAATGTTCTCATGTACATCGGAATCTTCCTGACAAATGGAGCCATAGATGTGAACAGCGCTGTTTCTTTTACCAAGAAAATACGCCCAGCCAGATCCTTGCTTCTGACCTGTTTGAGATCCCATTCGCCAGGTCATCCTAATTTTCTGACTGGTATCAGGAGCCAATGTCACAAGAAATCCGCAATAAGACACTGACTTGCTTCAAGTGCAGGAGCTGTGAGGTCTGATCTGAGCCAGGCAGAACGACTCTCTCATGATCCCGCCGCCTACTGCCACGTCCATTGGGGTTCTTGACTAGCTAGAGGCTCACATGGGTAAGTGCTTAGAATGACCCACTGGAAATGTTTATTACTTTAGTATCTTTTTACAGTCTATTTGTCCTTTAAATCTATTTCCTTTGGAAAATGGCCAGGGTGAGATCTCACTGTTCCTGGTTTTGATATGCCCCTACCACATGCGAATTGAACTGAACGACAATGATTGTGATGTCATCTCTGTACATTCGAGCGAGCTCTTCGGGAAGACTCAGCATTTTGGAGAGACGCTCATGGTCGACAGTCCCAAACTCGTTGTTGCCCACGGCGTGGCGAATAAGATGGGTTGCCGCATTCTGATCCTCAAACACCGAGGACATCTTGGCTCTCCTTTCTGTCAACAGGCCGTGCATCTGTCCCAGAGTCACCTTGTACCCGCCAACCGCTATTGGCTGCTGGTGGTGCATGCCTGTTAGGTACTCGCCCACAATCCTAACCACATCCTGCCTATGCATCGTCTCCCACAGCCCATCGGTAGCCAGGATCAGAAACTTATCCTGTGGCCTTAATCGGTGGTAGATCACCTCTGGCTCAGCAGTGAGATAAGGAGGTGTGTAGTAATTAGGAGGAATAAACTTGGTATATTCGTTGTCATTCAGCTGGTCTGGGCCAGATTCTATCACTCGCTTTTGAAGGTCAATGCTCCACTTGAATTTGACATCGCCAAAAGCCCTAAAAGGCATCAGCAAGCCAAGGAGCCGATCCTGTTTCACCACGCTCTTGGCCTCGTTCTTTGGGTGTTCCAATTTTAGCCTTTCCAGTTCACTTTCATTCTGAGCGTTGTGATCATTGGAGAGAGTGACCGCTGACCAGGAGCCGTCCTCTTCCTGCACGCCCAACATGGCTCTGCTGTCGCCGGTATTGGCCACGTGAAGGTTGACCCCATCGACGTGGGCCACACAAGCAGTGGCCCCGGAAAACGCCACTCGAAGCACCAGGTAGTTGAGGAAAGAATTGGGATCACCAACTTGGGCCTCCAGGGAGATGTCGTTATCGAGTCTCTTGAAGGCATTGATTAAAGCCTCCTTAACATCAATGTCATCCGACTCGCCAGTGTTGAGGTCTATAAGTTCTTGCCAGTAAGTCCTCAAGCTGTTGAAGTACAGCTTGGACGCCTCCTTACTGAAGTAATCGTTGGGATGCTTGTGCCACTGGAGAATGGGGAGCAGTGCCCGGCCACTCTCCACCGCATTTTCAATCTCTAGCAAAGTCTCGTGGGGCAGCAAAGAGACGGCAATGTAGTAGAAGAGTCTCTCACTGACCGCCTGGGAGCAAGCACAGCCTGCGTGGCCATCGAAAACCCCCAGCAGCATCCCTCTGGTCTGCAGGCAGGTGGCCGCACTTCTCCGGTCCTCAATGGGCGCGTTTGCAGGTAGCTGGTTACTGTCAAATCCAAGGACGGAACTGACATTTTTGCCATCGAATTCTGGCACTTTGAAACTGTACTCATTGGCTTTCAGGATGCTGTTGACTTGCGGAGGAGTGAGGTAAAACTTCTGCGGTGTGGAAACGTATCTCCTCCCCTGGCTGTACTGCCACCAGTTCTCCTTTGGCCTGCAAAAGGTGGCATACGCCGGGTGGGGTGCGTACCGCAGGTGGCTCTGAGGAACGTAGGAAGATGGGCAGCAGAGATGTCTGTGGTGGCAGTAACAGGCAGTGCCATAGAGTCTGCTCAGTTCACAGTTACGAATCAGAGGGAAAAACAGTTGAGTTGGTGCTGGCATGGCATCAGAGAACAGTGGCAGGCTGGAACTTCTGACTGGGATTCCTACAACACAAATCACACAGGTACACACAAAGAAAGAGTTATACTTCAGATTGCTGAGTCTGCCTTTGCAGGGAGACACTGTATTTTATACCCACACCATGTACTATTTCTACAGGGCATATTCTGCTGAACACAATTCCCAATCACTTATGGAGCCAGGACTGAACGTCAGGCTTTACTTTTCTCTCTTCATCGTATTTCTTTGTGTACACAAACTGTGCACAGTGTATATATAATAGATTCAGCTGGGGAGAGCTGAGGAGATGAGTGTTATGTAACATTAGGCAGTGGAAGTCTACCTGGCCAATCGCTCTTCTTCCTCTCTACCTTAAAAAAGGCTTTGGATCTTCCATATTGCTCAGGGACTTACCCCATTTATGAATATCCTATTTCTAGGGCTGTGGTTAATTGTCAGCATTTGATTATACATGGCTATCACCAAAAAAGTGTTAGGATGCATTCCCAACACAGTATATTCATACATTACTTTTAAGTTACACATATATACTGCTGTATTAATATCATGTTCATTATAACATATACAAAAAGATTACATAATGAATAAAGAGGAATGCCAATATTCCCTTCCTATACCCCAGTGAGTGGTCTTACAAACAGTGCTTTCTACTTCACTGCATCAATTTGGTGAGTTTAGGGATACAGATCTTCCACCAACTTTCCAAATTAACCCTGCAAAAGCTGGCTCACCTTTTTGGGCCTCACTTTCCTAAGATGTAACTGAATACATCTGAACAGAGATTCTAAAGCCTCTTCTAGGAATCTATGTCTATATAACTGTTTGTTGAAGTGGGGCTTTGAAATCAAATGCAGGTTTCATTTATTCATCAATTTTACTGTGTCCTTCATAAAAAAAAAAAAGTTCAAATATTTTAGTAGCTCCAAAACTGTCACTAACATAAATAGTTGCAGTTCTGGAATTTAATATAATTGGTAGCACTTTCTTCTGTTTATCAGCCATAAGGGAAAGCTATAGAAATGTTATTTTCATCAATTATGGATCCCAAGTAGAATTCACCACTGGAAAAATATTTTCTCTTATATTAAAAAACAAAAGTATGTATTTGTCTTTGGGAATCAATAAAGAATAGTGGAATAATACCCAAATAGTCTAAGGTTTAGATAAAAAAAAAAAAAAAAGGTACGGAATTATAATCTAAATCATATCACTCAGTATATGACACTGAAAGATTTTATTGGGCATTTATCTAGAAAATTTAATGAATGTTTAGCAGTAACTCAGATAATTTGTGCAAGAAAAAAAAATACTGTTTCTTGATAATATTTCTCCTAAATTCTTAAGGTATTGCCTTAATGTATTTATTTGGCCTACAAAGAAATAGGCTTTACAAATACTTTATATAAGGAAATAAATAAGTAAACAAAAAGAAATAAGGAAAATAAAATCAATTGAATCTTTATATCAGCTACTCCTTCCGAAGGTTAAACCAATTAAGGAACAAAAAACTTACAGGTATTGGAGTGTTAGCTACATATTACATTATTTTTCAGTACCTTTTTCTGAAGAGTAATTAGAGGAAAAGTGGTAAGGAGAACAACAAACACTGAATAACTGATCTTTGTTTGCTTCTATAAATAAACATGGCATCAGCCAGTCGTACAGAACCCCTTTTGCAAATGATAGGAAGTACCATTATTTTAACTGCACTATTTTTTTTTTCTATTAAGGTATTACATATGCTCTATCACCCCCCTGTTGTCTGTGTCCATTGGTTAGGCTTATATGCATGCATACAAGTCCTCTGGTTGATCTCTCCCTTAACTGCACAATTTAAGAAGGGATTTGTTTACGAAATTGAAGGCAAGATTAAGCAATAAAAGGTAAGGATTAGAATTTTTTAAATAAGATCAATAACTAAAAAACATTCTGAAATGCAAAAAAAGTAAACAGAAATTCCCAAAGAGAAGCAATTTATCAAGACTAACACGTAAATAATAGTACTTCAAACCGAGTTTCTGAAAGTCATCCAAATTAGGTCTACATGACTGAGCCAGGGGATATGCTCAAATGTTGGGTCACATGACTCTGGTTTCCAAATTCCAAAATAAACCAAAACTTATATGCACTCAGAAAGCACATAATTTCATGCACTGTATAAATATTTTCTAAGCATTAAAAATGTAAAAATGGCTAAGCAGTTGAGCATGGACCTATGACCCAGGAGGTCACAGTTCAATTCCCAGTCAGGGCACAAGCCTGAGTTATGGGCTTCCCGGTGTGGGGTGTGCCGGAGGCAGCCCATCAATGATTATCTCTCATCATTGATGTTTCTCTCTCTCCCTTCCTCTCTGAAATCAAAATATATGTACATATTTTTAAAAATGTAAACAGATGCCAATCTTAATGAAAAGGAAGTTTCTCCCTAACTTCATGTTTGAATTTGTGCTTACTTTAAAACTTAATCCTACAGAGAAGAAAAAAGTGTTTCTGATGAAATGTAGATTGAATAAAAGTAGTGTGTGTGTATGTTTAGAAAAAGGGGAGCTTTTATTATACAGGGTGGGACAAAAGTAGGTTTATAATAGTTTGTATGGGAAATGTAATAATTAGTAAATAATAATACAAGAATAAACTCTTTTCACACATTCACAACTGTAAACCTACTTTTGCTCCCACCCTGTATGTCTAACCAAGGAAATAAGTTCAGGAAACTTGCACTTTCTTTAAATTGCTTTGTTCTGAAAATTTTATGCTTTTGTAGTTGATTGCAAAATGAATGAAATATTATGGCACAAGAACTAATGAGTCATGCAGGAAATGCTCGGACTAATACAGTACATTCAAACAGCAAGCACTGGAATGTCTAAATAACATACTACATTTTTTCCTTCAAATCCAAGGTTCTTGAGGTTGAAAACAGAAAAGGAGAGCGAATTTTTATCAACTGTGTTTTTCCCTTATCCGGTTTAGCAGATGAACTGCGATTGCCTCTCTATCCCCCAACTCCCAGCGTGCCTTCCAAAGACACATTCTTAGTACAAATGAAATTCACGCAAACCTGCTCTGCGATGAATTAGTGTCCTGCCATCGCCAGTACAAGTGACAGAGTTTCTCCATCAGATCAGATACCCTTAGAGGTCAAAGTGCTTTCAAATGTTTTCAGAAACCTTAAGTGAGCAAACACGCAGCATCTTTCCAAAGACCGTGTTAGTCAATTCAACAACAACAAAAACACATGAGCACAACCTTCGTTGCAGAACCATAAATACGTGAAGTAGAAAGCTCTGGATAGACAAAGAACGGCAACGCGATCCAGCTGTGGGTGAACGTGGAGCAGTGTCAAATTTCCAAATTATTTCTGACCGTGTTCCTACTGGAAAGTTCCTATCCCCGGATCCAGACCGAGCCCTGCTATGGGCAGCACCTCCGTCCTAGTGAATGTGCCAATGACTAATAAGGAACGAGGCACTGCAACCCGAAGCTGGAGAGACCCATCTCCCTGATGTGCTCGGCGGAGTCCGTGCCAAAGAAACGATTGCACTTCACCGTTTCGGAACAAACTAATGAGAAAATGCTGTCCGGCGCGCGTTAGGCTTTGCAGAGCTTTGATGTACAAGGAGGGAGAGGTGCTATCCTGGTGACTAAACGTGAAATGTCAGAAGCCCCGTTTATGTAATCCTACCGGACCGAACACCCTGCGTAAAGGCTGCGACTTCTCCAGCCTGTTCTCACCACGCCTAGCCGGTCCGCAGCTCCCGTTATCTGTCGTTCCCTGAATGAAGACACCTTTCCCGGCTTCCTTAGGAAGACGCCAAGCTCCCGGCCAGCACTTGTTCGAGTCCTTCCCTTTGTCCATCACCTGAGCACTGCCCTCTCCCAGGCGTCAGAGCAGGTCCTGGTCCAGCAAGCCTTTGTCCTCTCTCCTCTCTCTCACCCCTTCCTTCCACCACGACCCGCCTATGGCCATCCATCCATCCATCCATCCATCCACACGCACCATCAGCCCCATCCTTCCTTCCAGGCTACCCAGCGCAGGTCCGGGAGGGGATGGGTATATACCTACCAATTCGTCTGGGCCCGGGGCACACACACATTCTCCTGTCATCACAACACGGCGCCGACAACATCCACAACCCGCGCGGAGAGCAGCAGCGGCGGCAGCACCGGCCCATCGGAGGCAAGAGATGCTCATTAGCGGCGGCGGGAGGGGGGGCGGGAGGGGAGGCGGGCGGAGGGGGCCGCGGAGGGGCCGGGGGAGGGGCGAGGGCCCGGCCGGCGGCTGAATGGGGCTGGGCCGGGCGGCGGGAAGAGAGAGGACGAAGGAGAAAGGGGTGGGGAGGAGGAAACCAAACCAGCCAACCGCGCCCGCGGGAAAGGCAGAGCCGCAGCCCGAAGGCCGTGGGGGCCCAGACGCGGGCAGAGGCCGGCGCGCCCCGGCCCGGGCCCAGCCCCGCCATCCGGCCCGGGCGCGGCGCCCTCCGCCCGGCCCACCGGCCCACCGGCCCGGCTTCAGGATCCGAGCCCGGCGGCCGGCGGCGGCTTCGCGGGGAGCCCCCCGAACCCCGGGGGGTGCAAAGGGGGATGAGGGGACCCTCAGGCACCGACGACGCGCCGCCCGCGCCGCACCTCCCGGCAGCTCCCCCTTCCGCGCTCCCCCACGGCGTCCCCGGCGCCCCGACTCCGGACCCCGGCGCCCCCCGCGGCCGCGCACACCGGGCGCTCGGGGCCCGTCCCCACCCGCTCCCGCCGCCCGGCCGCCCCCGCGCCCCCCGCGCCGGCTCCCCCTTCACCGCTCCGCGCGGGCGGAGGACTCCATCGCGGTGGCGCGGGGCTGGAGCGGGGCATACGAACCGGGCACGGCAGGCAGGCGCCGCTCCTTCCCGATGAGGAGGAGAAAGAGGAGGAGGAGGAGGAGGAGGAGGAGGAGGGGGAGGAGGCGGCGGCCGCGAGGACCGTCCGACGCTCCCTCCACAAAGCCCAGGGCCGCTCCCGGCGCGCGGGTCCTCGCCCACTCGGCGCCCCCGCCCCGCCGGCCGCCACCCGCCCGCCCCGCCCCGCCCCGCCCGCGCGCTCGGGGGCCCCTCTCGCCTCCCGATTGGAGGAGAGCGCCTGGGGGCGGGGCTGGGAGAGTGGGGGGAGGGGGCGAGGCGGCGGCGCGCGCCCGCCGGCCCTGTGACGTCACGGGGGTCAGACAATCGCTTCCATTTGGCACCGCTGCCCATTGGCTCGGCGGGCCGCCTCACGTGACCGCGCCCCGGGCGGCGCCGCCGCGCGACCCTCGGCCGGCGGGGCTGGCTGGGCGCCGGGGCCCCGGCGGTCGGCGGCGAGCAGGTGGGCGGTGGGCCCGGGAGGAGGGAGGGCCTGGGCCGGCCCCGGCGCCCCCGGCGCGTGCGGGGCCCCGGGCGCCGCGGCTCCCCGCCGGGCGCGCTTCCGCGAATCGCCGGCACCTCGGCGGGGGCCCGGCGGGGGTGTGGCCGCCCGCCCGCCTCTGGCCGGTGGGCCGAGGCCCGGGGAGAGGACCGCGGGGCCGGCGCCCTGCCTGGCCGGAAGCGGCTCCTGCCGCCGTTCCCGGGCAGATCTCAGGAGCGGGGGCTGGGTAATGGCTCCCGGACACTTGTCGGCGCCCCGGGGGAGGCGCGGGTGTAAACGCAGCGAGAGGAGGTGGTGGGGAGGCGCCCCGGCCCCCGGGAGGCCAGTGTGTGCTGGAGCGCTTTGGAGAAGGTGTGTGTGTGGCTTTGGGAGAAGGTGTGTGTGTGGCTTTGGAGAAGGTGTGTGTGTGGCTTTGGAGAAGGTGTGTGTGTGGCTTTGGAGAAGGTGTGTGTGTGGCTTTGGAGAAGGTGTGTGTGTGGCTTTGGGAGAAGGTGTGTGTGTGGCTTTGGAGAAGGTGTGTGTGTGGCTTTGGGAGAAGGTGTGAGGCTTTGGGAGAAGGTGTGTGTGTGGCTTTGGGAGAAGGTGTGTGTGTGGCTTTGGAGAAGGTGTGTGTGAGGCTTTGGGAGAAGGTATGTGTGTGGCTTTGGAGAAGGTGTGAGGCTTTGAGAGAAGGTGTGTGGCTTTGAGAGGAGGGTGTGTGGCTAGTCCTGCGCGGTGACTGGGAGGGAGGAGGGCGGAATCGGGCGCCGCAGTGGGAGGAAACCCGACTTGGAGTCAGAGGACCTTCATCCTGGTGATTTCCGCTGAGTGAGCCTGGGTGTTGCTCCGGGAGATGAAGTTAGGCCTGGGGTTGGCATCGATGCCAACGAGATCATCGCACTTAATCCCGCCTGGTGTTAGCGAGGTAACTGATTTATGGAGCCTCGCCTCTGTGTACTAGCCAGTAAAGCTCACAAAGTGATGTCCGCTGGCTATAAGCTGTCATCGTCACAGTACCATGGAGTTTTATTTATTGTAAATTTTGTGTGTGTGTGTGTGTGTGTGTGTGTGTTTCAGAAAGAAAGGGGAGAAGAGTGAGAGAGAAACCTAGATGGAGAGCGAAACATGAAACTTCCACGTCCATCGGCTGCCTCCTGCACGCCCCCTGGACGGGTGATCTAAGCTGCAGTGCCCAGATTAGGAATCCAGCAGGTGACCTCATGGTGCATGGGTCTAGGCGCAACCACTGAGCCACACCCGCCAGGCTGGAGTTTTACTAGCGTTTTTTGTGAATCTTGCATTGTCTGATTTTTATGTAATAAAGGAAGAACGTTTTGTACAAGAGAACAGTGCCAGAAACTGCTTCTTCATAATCCCTAGGTCTTTCCAGCTGCCTCCTCTTTTCTCTAAATAAATAAGGGCAAAGCCGTTTTGCCAGTCCCCCAAGTGCCACAAATCTCTTGTGGCTGTTCTATCATATGTGGCTTTCATCCTGGTTTCCATGGGCCCATCTGCCTGCCTCACTTCACCTCTTCTTTCTACTTCTTAAATGAGCTCCCCATTGACTTTTATCCTGTTTATGTGATTTGTATCTGGCTTTCTCTGGTCTCCTAGAGGCATATTGGGTGGTGTAGCCTACTGTCAGACCATGAAGCTAGACTGCCAAGGTTCCAATCCCAGCTTTGTAGTTGACTGGTCCTAGGCAACATCTTTCTTGCTCAGTTCTCTCATATGGAAGATAGAAATAAAAAAGTAATATAAGTAGCCGTGACTGGTTTGGCTCAGTTGATAGAGCGTCAGCCTGCAGACTGAAAGGTCCCGTGTTCTATTCCGGTCAAGGGCATGTGCCTGGGTTTCAGGCACATCCCCAGTAGGGGGTGTGCAAAAGGCAGCTGATCGATGATCCTCTCTCATCGATGTTTCTGACTCTCTATCCCTCTCTCTTCCTCTCTGTAAAAAATCAATAAAATACATTTTAAAAAAAGTAATATAAGTAAAGTAAAAATAGTCAAAATATTGAGTTAATTATGCTAAGAAAGTTCAAAGGGAGTAGTAGTAAGAGCTGAGTAAGTAGGGCTGTCCTATATAATAAAAGCCCAGCAACTGAACACCAGAACAACCAGAATGACTGGTTGGCCAGTTGCTATGATGTGCAGTGACCATTAGGGGGTAGACACTCAACCCAGGAAATGCTCCCTGATAATCAATATGTCCCCACAGTGGGAGTGCTGCTTGGCTGATGGGGATGAGTAATGCTCCCACATCAGGCCATTCCCTGCAGGCCACACCCCCCAGCCAGTATAGGAATTCCATGCACCGGGCCTCTAGTTATTAATATTATAGACATGTGTCAGTACATCTGTTAGATTAAGAAATCCTAGAGATTCGGAGACCCAGACTACCAAGTGCAGTGTGGCCACCCAATAGGCTTGCTTTAAAAGTTACTTTTTGTATTAGTAGACATTAATAATACAGTTAGATTATGTATTAGTAGACATTAATAGACTAGAGTGTCTTATGTTAGGTGTCACTGCTTCTTAGCCTCTACTCCGAAGATATGGAGACCAGTTAACTGAGGTTAATAGTTCATTTTTACTTTAAAAGTTTCTGCCTGAGACTAAAAAATGGTTTTGTAGTAGATGTGTCTGTTTTCTATAACCATTTTCCTAATGATTGTGAAATCGAGTAATGAGACTGCAGGATGCCATCCCCACAAATACCCCATCCCCACTGATACCAAGACCCACGAATATTCAAGTCCCTTATATAAAACTAGAGGACTAGCACACGAAATCATGTGCAGGTAGGGTCCCTAGGCCTAGCCTGCACTCAGGGCCATCTTCCTCCCGTTTGCCAGTCCCCATTCCCGCCCTGCTGCCGACACCCACCCCGGTTTCCCATTCGCCATTTGGCGATCTATCAGAGCTTGCAGGCCGGGAGGAGGGACCAAGGGGTCAACCATTACACCTGCTTGCCAGTCCCCATTCTCTCCTACCCTGGTTCCCCGTTCACCATCCAGCGATAGGAGCCTATGGGCTGGGGGAGGCACCAAGAGGTCTGCCTTCCGCCTGCTCACCAGTCTCTAGTCCTGCCCCGCCTCCACCCACACCTGTTCCCCGTGGTTCTCCATTGGCCATCGAGCGATCGGAGCCTGCAGGCGGGGGGCGGGACTGAGAGGTGGTCAGTGCACTTCATAGTGACTAGTTGATCGGTCGTTCTGGTCATTACATCATTATGGTCTTTTATTATAAAGGATGGCATAGAATGATGTATACAGTTGGCCCTCTGCACCCATAGATTCCCAACCTCAGATTGAAAATACTGTTTTCAATCAATGGCTGATTGCAAATATGAAACCTGTGGATATGGAGGACCCTCTGTGCATCCACATCAATGATCTCTTCAGAGTTGTCACCTTGATAGCATATACCTTATTCGACACCAACATTGCCATTATTCCGAGCACTTTTAAAATTACCTTTCAGATTGTTGTTGGATCTGCCCAGGAAACTCCAACTTGTTTTACTATAGCCAGCATCTTGGTTTTATACCAAAATAGTATTGATTTCCTCATCTTATGAGTCTTAGTTCTGAATAACCTGGCTGTTTCTTAAAAATGACACACACTTGCAAATAATTGGTATTTGCCACCGCTAAATATAGTCAAAAGAACTTGTCATGTGTATTGGAGCCAAGGCCAAGCTATTTCTGGAATCAGAAGGAAGGTTCACCAAAGTAATAGCTT